CTCGCACAATCTTCTCTTATTCTCCACTTTTTTGTTTCTCTGTTTCTCCTCGTGTTCCTCTTTGTTATCCTGTTTTTCTTTTTCATGTAAGAACGAACGGGAGAGAATCTTTATGCGTCCGCACTCTGCAAGCGGCTTTTGAGAAACCCGTTGCGACCTTCGCGAAAAAGTCATCGACCTATAAGCGCTTACGGTGGATACTCGTACTTTTAGAACTTTTGTTTTTATTTTTATATTTACAAGGGCTTGCGGCATAAATTTTTAGAGTATCCTTGCAAGGCAGCTACCACTGGCATAACGCATGGTCATATAAATTCTTAACATTATCGCTCTTCTTTAGTATTAATTTCAACTATACTGCAATCATTATGAGACTATTCTGTATTTATGAATATGAAATTTTTCATCGTTTTTATTGATATTTTACACATTTTTGTTGAAAAAACGGAGAAGAAAGCCATGATATCATTTAACTCTTATAAAATTAAAAAGTAGTCTTTCAACAATATTCTGAATTGTTTATTATTAGTCTCATTAAAATATGAAAGTTAATATATGAAATTAACTGACTATTAATTAATATATTATGCAAACATTTAAATTTTTTGTTGGGAATCAAATGGGCGTCGTTTATTATTACATACTGTACAGCTTGTGGTATTACGCACAGTAAAATAGAATATTTCATAAACTATTAATATATAATTATTATATCAGTGATTATAAAAGTATCGGTAATACATAAACAAGTAAAAATGTTATATAAACAATATTATTCTTACTATATACCTCCGCACACATATAATCGATAATATCATTATATATGATAATCCATCATACACTTATTAATTTACTCTATGAACTTATTGAATTCCTAAGTCTTGATATTTTTATAAAATAGCTCACGAGTGTATGCGCGCGCGTGTGCGCAAGCGTATGCGTATGTTTGTGTATTATGAAGCTTATTTTCGAGATTAAGTAGAATCAAAGTTTATCATTAATCTTAATGATTTTATTGCTGTATAAGTATAATCCTAACTCTATTGATTTATATACTTTTATAAACGTTTGCATAATAAAATAGTTAATTATTCTTTCATAATTTTCATATATCTCTATGATATATTTATAATTGCATATTTCAAGAGTATTAATCTACCTTCTCTTTCATTCGTCTCATATTAGGAATTCTTGATTAGGAATTTTTTATTCATTATCAAACTCAAATAATATTATTCAAATTATACTCAAATATAAAATTTGAAATATGAAAAATGTTGTAATTTAATATTGCCCACGCGATACGATTTACAGTACAATTAAAAAAAAAATAAATAAAATCAACTAAAACAACAAATAATATAATCATGAACGTTTATATTATTATTATTATTATTATTATTATTATTATTATCGCTTGATATATCTTTAAAAATAATATTGAATTTTCATTTTGGTACACGTTATGTCAATCATATATTATAAAAGGACTTTTAATTTGTTAACTAAAATTTTTATGCATCAAACTATATACACTTAAAATATTATATTTTTAATCAAAACAAAGTTCTTCCTTTCATTAGTTAATTATAATTACATAAGATCGTTTAATATTTCCTATAGCTCGGCAATAATTACAGCGCATTTACTCAAAATTAAAATGATTAATGTTTTACGTTATAATTGTTTTAAAATTGACTTAATACTTACTATTAGTTAAGGCAGCCACTTATTACTATTTATTTATAAAATATGCTGCAATATTTATGAATAAAATATATTTTAGTGTGATACTTCTATATTTCAATCTTTGTGTTCAACTACATCGATAATAAGACATAAACAAATAATGAACCTATGTTTCACAATATTTATATTTAAAGAAATATGCACTAATACAATTTAATTATTTTCTTTGAAAAGAAATTTTTAATTTATGCCGTTTCATTGAAATATCGCTGTTTCATTTATAAATAGTATAAATAGTATAATTTTCGATATTAAAATTGAATAATTTTTTTCCCATTAATATTAATGCTAATCTAAAGTGTAGCTAGACAGGATTTATTAAATCATTTTAAATTTGACGTTATAACAATTTATAGAATAATAATATAATTAGTATGAAATAACAGATTGAAATATTAGTTGCACCACTAAATGTTATGAGGCAATGAGCTCATATAAATGGAAAGATTTTACTACTTTATTAAAGTATATTGGATGTACTATTTTAACATTACTAATGATTAAAATGAATGGAGGAGCCTTTTATGCAATATTACGTAATAAAAGACTTATATTGCTAATTTAATGGAAATTAAGTTATATTCCAATTATTAAAGGTAACAAAATTTGCATAAAAATGCAAAAATAATATTTGTAATTTTTAGTTAATGTAGTTAGTCGCTGAATAGTAAGAAATATGAAATAATAATTTTACCAGGATAATGAAATATACCGATTAAATCCATGATTTCTCGTTAGTAGTGAATCTATTTCAATTATACTAATATATTATCGATGAATAAAACTTCATATATATATATATATATATATATTTGCTCCAGAAAACATTGAACGGGGACTATCAAATAAATATATTATATGTATAACTTAATTATATTCAAACAGCTGGGAAAGCTTTAAATAGAAATGCTTGTACGAATAGTTTTTCTTCAAATTATTTTTATTACGATTATAAGAAACGTAGAAAAATGTAGGACGAGAAAATAATAAATCATAAAATAAAAACAAGCGATGCATACAAGAACTCCTAGCAAATAGAAGAAAATGAGAAATGACGTAATACATAACATTGTTTGGTATTATAAAAGGTTCGTGGGAATAAAAGGCACGAGCGCGTCTAGACACGAACTGACATTTCGCGAACAAGTCGCGCACTCGACTGCGAAATCTGGAACAAAGTAGTAGAGGCTACTTGGAAGATGACCGAGAAAAATAGATCGAACATTCGAGTAACCTTTGCACATTTTATACATAGTAGTATTGCATGAGCTTAGGCCATGTCATGACCCAAAGTCACCAACCAACATTCTTTCTGTTTCCATCTCTTTATATTACTTTCACTTAAGAAGCGCGCACATCTCCTCCCTTTCTTTCTATATATTTATCTCCGTAACATGAACGAAGGACGAATATCGTTCGGAGGTCAGGACGCACCCAGATGAGAATGGATTAGAAATGCCTCTTTCGCGACTGGTGCATCATACTAAATTATTCCACATTAATGTTGGTGCAATTTACTAAATTAAAATACCATTTCACAATTGGCGCAAAAAGTTTTTTAATTATATCTAATTAAAATTATCTTTTATCAATATTAAAAATATATACACACATGTATATATATATATATATATATATATATATATATATATATATATATATATATATTTTTTTTTTTTTTT